CTGATAGTGGCAAAATATCGATACCGCGTGTTCGTCTTGAGACTTACGGAAAGCGCACTTTTGCATTTGCTGGCCCAACAGCCAGCAATGGAGTTTTTTAAAACTGATTTAAAAACACATCTATTTCGCAAACACCTTCTGGGGTGATGCTATCTACCATCTTTTTCAAGTTAATGTATATTGGCTTGTGTTGCTTATGGTTGAAATAGGGTGAAAGACTTTGACTTGGTATGCTCGTATGTAGTTTTTTTACTGTTGCGTCTGTTTTTAAATGTGGTAAATTTTATATTGTTTTTATTTCTCTTTTTAATATGGTTGACTTTGTACCGCGCTTCGAGCTTTTGGGGATGAAGCATGTTTTTCAAATAAACTTTATTATTATTATTATCAATATTGCCAATTCAATGAGACATTGTTAAAATTGATACCTTGCTGATGAAGATCTCTCAATATTTTCTGTTTAATAAGCTGCCCAGTCACCATCAAAAAATTACTTTCTTAAAATTTTGCATTCTATTTTAGATTGTGTGGTTCATTCAACTTTGTGCTTTTCAGAATTTGTTTTTGACAACAGCGAGATTATCAAATCCGAGCCCTGATGCATAATTTATCTCAGGGCAATTCAAGAGTTACAGTAAATACAATACGAATTTTAAAAACTAAGAGAGTGAACTAATAGCCGTTATGATGTGTCCCATTATGACCAGTAAGACTAGGAAGAGTCTTAATATCAGATTGACTGGGGTATATAACGTTACAGGCCCAGCATAATTTAATTTGCCCAAATACCCCACCCCCTATTGTAGCCCCAGGTATTTTCATGAAGTAAATACTTCAGCTAAAAATATGTTTCAGACTTACATTTTGAAGAGGACTTTGCAGTTTTAGTATTTGGAAATCTGGCTATCAGCCGGCCGGCAGCTGTCATCATTGCCATACTTATTTATCATTTTAAATGGACGCTGGAAGTAAGTGTAAACAATCTTAAACTTTATTTTTTTTTAAAAATTTGATGATGCTACTGTCTCCACACTTCTAGTGCGACAATTGTTTTTGTAAGATAATTGTGTTTTTTAATGTAAGAGAGAATCTTTTGACTGGGGGGATTCATCATACAGACACCAAAAGAAACAACCATTTTTTTTCAACCGTTTAGTGCAAATGTTGGTATAAATTTAGATTGTCCCCCTTTAATCTCAATTGCCTCCCTTTAGTTTAGTCCTTTGGTAACTTTTTCACTTTTTAAAAAATTAAAAGCACTCTATTTAAACAGTAATTAAAAATTTCACTACCTTTACCTACACAAAGATAATGAGAAAATCAACTTAATTTTCATTTGTTAAAAAATCCCCCTTTAAACTACGCAGAGTACACAATTTTATCTCGGTATTGATGTAGTGTTCTACAAACCAGAAGTACATCCTTTAGATTGTAATTTCCAAACCAAGCTATAAACACATTGTCAGCGACAACACTAGACACATTTGTGTCTATTGCCTCAAGCCTTCAAACCCCCAGTGCATGATTCCCTCACAAAGTGGCACTGGAAATCTGTGAAATTTCCTCATCAACACCAGGAACAGAAACATTGCAAATCCCATCTACATGCATAGGAGCCAAAATGATCAATAAATTGATCGTGGGCCCTTAAGATATAGAAGAAGATCTATAGTTAGTATTTGGAATTATAATCAAATGCTTATGAATATATTATATCGATATATGCATAGAACATTTTTATTTAAAATTGTAACCTTTCTCTGTAACACTTATTACTGTTACTATAATTACTTGTCAGAATGATCATGGCCTGGGCTGATCTCCAAGTGGATATCAGATAGGGGTTAGCTTCTAATTTCTCACAACTATAATAACACAAAGTCCAAGTCTTCACATATCAATGATTTATTTGTACACTTCACAACAATATGCACATGTGCAATGATAATTGATGAACACATTTCATAATACATCTATTCTCTCTAAAATAACGTGAAGTCACTCATACATTCCATCTTTCTTTGATACAAATGAGACAAGATCTTCATTCCCGCTTTTCAATGCTTTACAATATGGCTATATAAGTAGTTCCTCACTTTATTTAAATACATGCATGTAACATGCACAGACACGAAATAGTGCTTTCCACTCAGCTGCAAATGACATCAAATGTTATAAAAATGAATAAGAAGGCAATTTATACAATAATGGCCTTCAAATTCTGAAAAATTACACCAGTTACCGGTATTTAAACTATATTGAATCATATCATATGATTCATCTCATGGAGTTGTCAGCTTTAATAAAGAATAGAATTTTCAGTTTGGTTGATCCATTATTGGGAACAAAACTATAAGTTAAGATAAGAGTCTTTATTGATCCAAATTAATGGAAATATTTTTTTTATCATACCAGCAATAGTTATCAATTTTTATTTAAACCTTTCTAATCATCTACTCAAATTAAATGAAATACTAAAGATTTGATATGTGAAAGCTTGAACAAACATGTCCTTTCTATTTCATTAAAATGGCTTGAAGGCAGTCTCAACTATTTCATCCTATGTTTACTCACAGCAAGCACATAACCATGTGTACAAATGCAGCCAAAAAATTCGACCAAATCGTGGATTTATTGAGCAACTGTCAAGATGGGAGGAAGAAATACTTGGAAGCAAAAAGACTGACATTGATGATCAAAACTTTTATATTTGAAATCTGTATAATAAATATTTAAATCATTTCAAGTTTTCCATACTAAAGGTTATCTATTAAAATTAAAAAAATTAACAATAATTCAGAAGAGTATCTTATGTCTGCATATACTTATTGTAGCTTGTAGTAAACAATGCACACCAAAGCAATTTTGTTAAAAATTTTACACAACCTTTTTAGACACAAATAAACTAATTGGCTAAAATTGTTGGAAAATCCTGTATGTTTATACAAGCTGTTTAAGAAATATAATGATGAAGAACCATATAATTAACCTTATACTGTACAAACATTAATGCTAAACTGATTTTAGATACTTAAATACATAATATATTACCTTTTTGCTCTCAAGTTGTTACATAAAAAATAAATACAAATTATTTAGCTTTGCATTTCATTACATGTCATCTCATTTGTGTATGACCATAGAGTGTCTTGTTTCATCAGTCATGGCTAAAGGATTTAATCTCAGTTAAAAGGAATTCAACACCATATTTTACATCCCGATATTTTCACTGACAATTTAAAGGTATGGATGAACTGATGATAAAAATCTCTGTCTTCCTCTTTTTTGTTTTTTTTTGTTCAATACTTGGTATTTAAAAATTATGAGAAACGTTGAGATCACTCATGTCAATCAACATTTCATCCCAGTACCAACATTATTCTTTTTAATTATTTTACTTTCACCCATCTGACTATTATTGTTATTTTATGTTTTCTCAGTTATTAAATCTAATTTTAATCAACATTTGGTTTATATTGCTACCGATAACAAATAATTAATATGCTAGGAAATAATAGTTTTCCCTCCAGAAACTTTTTTTATTAGGATTATATAATAAGTGTGGACTATAAAACTAGTCCGTATAATAAAACTGAAAAACATATGAATCAATGTCAGCAACAATCTATTTATAAATTGCCAAACTTAGAAATAAATAAAACTGAAAACAAAAAAAAAAGCTTTGTTATTCGCTGTGTATGAAAAACATTTACACAATCAAAATACTTGGGCTCTTGAAATGTATTTACTAATTAGTTTTCTAGACAAGTGAGTGATTTATTTCATATCATTTTCCATGCAGAGAACTATTAACAGGATCCCGGTTTAAACAATTTTAAAAACTTGTCCATCCTAATGGCAGATCTTGTCACTGATCAGATAAAAAAAACAAAAAACATCTCTTTTCGTTTTCCGGAGGGACAAGACGATTAGGCATATGCTTGTTAGAAGCCATGCTATTAAAACAAATAATATAAGCACCAAAACTGAAACCGGGGCCGCTATAACACATGTCCCTATGTCAAAATGACTTCCTGTCTGGGAATATTCAGAATAAAAGATGGTTTTACTCGCACAAGTCGCAACGTATGAATCACACCATCCTTATGAAAAGTTCAGATATTCATAGGTTGTTTTGAGAGGTTGTCCCCTGGAGACCATTTTAGAGAACACATTTACAACATCAAGAAACAAGCCCTTTGTATCATTTCGAAAAATTTCAATAGTTCTTATCACAATGGAATATTAGACATTGCAGTTACTGGTATATTTTATTCCAGTAATATACTGAATTTAAATAGAAAACAAATTAATACCAAGATTTTGTGGATGACTCCCTACGGTATAAACCAAATTCACAATTTTACAGAGCTGCAATGTCTTTTTTCCTGTTTGGTTATATTTCACTATTTCAAAACTGTTATTACCAGCTGCAAGAAAGCTTTATTGGGCAATATCAATGACATTGCACTATTTCCTACTTGATTAATTAAGCTGAAGAAGATACAGTAGCATTTTAACAAGAAAATTGCATCATTGCAATTCATATGTGGTGCCTTATTTATCCAGCTAAGTCATTACAAAACTTTCAGCAAAAATTTCATAAATTCCTACAATGCTTGATAAAAGATATTTTTATGTTAAATATATCATATCTTATTGGAGTTTGAATTATGATGCAATCCTTGCTTTGCTTCTAATTGATAGCTGAAACTTTACCACAAGCTGTAACTTTACCACAAGCTGTAACTTTACCACAAGCTGTAACTTTACCACCAGATTTATGCTTTGTAGAAAAGCTTCAAACAGTTCCACTGCAAAAATGTAGTTAGATTAAATGAATCTGGGAGAAATATATTTCCTGGACATGACAATGGCTCATAGGTTGCACCAAAACATCAAGTGCTGGAAGCCATGAAAATGTCTTGACTATAAAAGTCCTCACAATAAGCAACACTTTAGAATCCATCATAACTTATCCGCTTCCTTGAAAAACTGGTTTCTCTTACACACTCTGGATTATACTGCGAATTGTACTTTCTGTTCACAGCCCTCCGGCCTTCCACCTCATAGTCATCTTTTGTAGTACTCCCTCCTTTCTCTGTGTCCCTCCCCTTGGTCTTTAACAGAAGAGCTTGAGTCTTGAGTCTTTCCTGAGTTTCTCTTGCCAATCTCTCTGCTCTTAGCTCATCTACAGTCTTGCTACCTGAACTACTTGTAGTTTTCCTTACTTTATCTTTGCCAGACTTCTGGGAATAGAGGACCATGTCAAGAGTTCACATATCATGTCAATTTAAGCATCATGAAACATAATGAGACAGCAATACTGTAAATTGATTTACTGAGGGCTAAGTTTTAGGATAGTTTATTATTGCCAGATCAAATTCTACACTCTCACTGCTTAGAATAAAAACTGTCTCACTGAAACGAGGAGCAATCCAATTATTATTCATGAAACAATACTTTTATGTCCCCCAAAACCCTGTACATTTTCCAACCCTCTCCTACAATTACAACAATTGAGGCGGCCCTCTTCTCTTAAGCTACTTACATTTTTAAATAAAAATATGTAAAGTAATTTTGAGTAGTAAAATATTAGTGGAAAATGTTACTCAAATTCAGTATTAATTGTATCTAAAAAAAAATGTCAGTATTATTATGGGTGAATTTCTAGATTAAAAAAACAAGACAACTTCTGTGCTTATATCCACTCAGATAAATAAGCCAACTTTGGCACACGTTGAAACTTTTAAAAGAAATATGTTTAAGTAAAAAAAATTACAACATGTACATCCATTTTAGATTCAACATACAATTCTGTAAGGGGAGCAACATACCATTTTGAAGGAAGAAAAGAGAAGCTTTTTCACAGCTCATTAAAATCTCTTATCAAGCAACACTGACAAATGCAACATCCCGAAGAGATTAAATTAAAACAAAAGCATTTTCATTCCCCTCCCTCCCCCTAATTATTACAGAAATCTGTCATAATTCTAGCACATGTGTTTCTAAGACTGATGTGCTATGATGAAGCTCAAATAGTTTTTACAATAATGTTAAAATCACTTTCTTTCTACTCCTCTTTACTTTGTTTTTGTCTGGTTTTAGCGCCCTCTCCTATTTTTTTCTGTTTTAGGTAGGATATGTATATTGATATTATGTAAATTTAATTTATACTTATTTAAATGTGTTTTGTTTGTTTGTACTGATGAAGGCATGTGCCGAAACGTTTACTTGTGTATAATGTATAATTATTATTAAAGCATAATTAATATTGTTATATTGACACAATTTGTTCGTGTCTTATTAATCTTGTTTCAAAGAAAAAAACTGACAGTGTGTGTGTGTAACAATTGATGGTTCAAGTGTGATAAAAATAAAAGATAAGACAACACAGCCACTCTCAGACATTAGATCCCTATTGACAGCCACACTCAAACATTAGATCCCTATTGACAGCCACTCTCAAACATTAGAGCCCTATTGACAGCCACACTGAAACATTAGATCCCTATTGACAGCCACTCTCAGACATTAGATCCCTATTGACAGCCACACTCAGACATTAGATCCCTATTGACAGCCACTCTCAGACATTAGATCCCTATTGACAGCAACTCTCAGACATTAGATCCCGATTGACAGCCACACTCAAACATTAGATCCCTATTGACAGCCACTCTCAGACATTAGATCTCTATTGACAGCCACACTCAGACATTAGATCCCTATTGACAGCCACACTCAGACATTAGATCCCTATTGACAGCCACTCTCAGACATTAGATCCCTATTGACAGCCACACTCAGACATTAGATCCCTATTGACAGCCACTCTCAGACATTAGATCCCTATTGACAGCCATTCTCAGACATTAGATCCCTATTGCTTACTGTTTTATGTTGACTCTTCCTTTTTTTAACCAAATGTTCTTGCATCATCATAAGTGGATCCATCGACTCTTTACGTTTTAACTCCATAGCTGATCTATAAAGATATAAAATAAAGTTTTCTTTTTTTTTTTTGTAAATCATATTGCGAGTGTCTTAATGTTTAATGCTTAATGTTTATACTTATTCCATAACTTTCCAGCCCTCTCCCATCTTTTTAACACTTCTTTTACTTTCAATACATGGAATGATAATAGACAATACAAAAACAGAACAAATACATGGAAACAGGACTGTTGTAAAGAGCCTTGATACAAAATTTCATTAAGGACAAACCAGATCTGAGGCTGAAGCTTTACAAATGGTGGGTAAAATAAGAGAATAATGAACAGCTGATCAGTTGGTAGGCTCTGATGTGAGTGACTAAACAAATTACATTGCACATACTTTAAAACCTTTTGGTCATTTCTTGTGTCCTCTTTTCCATCTGTCTTTGCTTTAGCCTTCTGTAAATACCAAGCTGCACCTTCTGTTGGACAGACAACATATTACTCAAAGGTGACCACTTGATATATACAAGTCACAAGTTATATACAAAATTAAACAACACCTAAAGTTTTTTGTAAAAATCCTTTATATGCAATTTTGTTTGTAATTGTACATGATTTCTCATGTATTAAGAAGCTGTTATATAAATGGTCAAACTTCTGGCTAAAAACATAACTCTTTCATTTTCCCCTATTTTTACTGCATAACCAAATAAGTCAAAGATGCAAAGCACATAGAAAGAGCTACACAAAAAACGCAACCATTGAACAAATAATATTTCACTTATCTTCCCCTTAAAAAAAAAAACAACAGATTTTTGGGGGTGAGGCTAAAAATTTGACAGAATGTGTTGTCATTAGCAACGAGTCTATGTGCCAAGTTTCAGTTAAATAGGATGACATGAAGAGGGTTAACTGGCCGTCCAAAGATTTTGCCCTTTACACAGAAACACAAGAAGAAAAGCGAAGATAATATTAAGGACATTTAAAACACTGAAAGATGCCCTCGAAAGACACATTCAAATTATTAACAATAAAACACAGAGGTGACACTTGATATGGCTGGAAGAGCTCTCATATAAGAGGGACAAAGAAAGAGTATGTGTAGAAGGAATTGCTCCATATAAAGGTCATTTTCCAATGTTGAGTTATGGTTAGCAATAATTACATAATATGTCAAGAGGAATAAAGAGATTAGTTTTCTTTATTTTCTATTTTAAATTATCTAGACTTAGAGGTAAACCTTAATAGAAATATTAAGTTTGTTTCAATTGGCTGAAAACATGAAATTATGATTTATCCCATCAAAAAAATCTCTTCAAATGCATCTATAAATTCATTTGGAGAAAAGTCTTCAAAAATTACCCTTTGGATATATTTGTTCTCTCCTCCAAAATTACCTAGTTGACTTGTTGCTGTATGACTATTAAAATCTTACCATCTAATGTGCTTTGACCTAAATAAGTAAGAAGGCCAATTTTTTTCTCCAACTGCTCCTGTTCTTGTTTTTTTTCTTTCTCATGCTCCTTGTTTTTACCCTGTTGTAACTGTTTTGAAAAAATTGCAATAATAAGGATAATTTTTAACCATAATCTATTTCGTATTGAATAAATAATATTTATGACCAAGTCTACTTGAAGTCTAAAAACTGAGGTGTTTAGGGATATTGCATTTTGTTTACACAGGACAACATTAACAGAATGTATAAAATAGATAGAAATATGCATAAACTTCCCAAGAGAAAGAGGCCAACCCACTTCAGATAGAAAAACCTTTGAAATTTCAATATTACAAGGTAATAAAGTTGGGAATTCCATTTTTTTGTAAATTTAGTACATAGCAATGACTCTTAAACTTTTTATAAAATAAGTCATGTCTTTGCTTAAAACTTTACATTTTAGAAATTTTAATGCAACCAAACAGTGATAGGTATGAATTTCAAATAAATAATATCCTAACAGCCAAACTCACTCCATCTTCAATATCTTTGAAGAAGTTGATATGTTCCTGCTTGTCTCCCAAGCCAGGGATAGTTGCACTTTTTGTTACAGAAGACTGCACAACAGCATTAGCATCAGAAGTGTTAGTAACCCACTTGCTCTGCGCTTTCACTCTCAAAAATTTTGTTCTTGCTTCTTGTTCCTACAAAAATATTATGAATGTTATCATTATTACAGAATATTATTCAAAATAAAATTTTCTTAGAGATAACAATACAACACTCAATTTTTAGTTCAATTTTAGGGTTTTTTGGATGAACTTCTAATAAATAAGTATTTAAAAAATAATAGAAAATATTTAGCTTGCTCAATGCAAATGCACCAGAGTATCATAGTTTATAAGATTTAATTATATTTAATAAAATCCAAGAACGTATCATCTTACTGCAAGGGATATCCTTCTTTGCTTTTCCTTTTCTTCCTCTGCAGCCTTTTCCTCATCTTTTCGAACACGTTCAATATTTTTTTTTGTTCGAACATGCCAACTACAGAGAATAAAAATGCAAAGCTAACTTAAGACAAAGAGTTAGTATCATGATGTTCCAGCACAACCCTCTAAAACTTAAACATGATTTTGGTTACTGTTTATAGTAAATGTTTGTTGTCATCATAAAGGCTCGTAACTTTCCCAAACCCAAGCCATTCACAAAGTACCAAAGCAATGTCGGCAATGACAATAATGATATTTCTTCTAAAAAATTGTGGAAGCTTTTAAATCAATGTCAATGGTGTTTACCAAAACAAAATCCAGTGGTGTTTTCCACACAGCCCTCCATGCCCTGTCTGCTGCTATCTTGTCTCTCTAAAATGACTACACTTACACTGATATGATAATGATAAGTAACACAGATGAAAATATCTCCTAAAATTAACAAAACTACCATGCGAATAGCCATCACTCAGTTAGCAGCATAGCCATAGGGATAATAACTCTTCAAAAACAGTGATAAATCATTGAAAATATGATTGACTGGGTCAGTATATAGTATAGTGCAGTCATACTATTACTATAGACTATACTGTACTATAAATATATGTATAGCACGGCACTCACTCTGATTCTATATTTAATGATATTAATAAATCTACAGGCTAATATTTGTGGTTGCCTGATCCACTCACCACTCCAGTCTCTACCCTTAATTAATATAATAGCCCACTATGTCAGTAGAATTCATGGTAAATTTGGATGAGATAGCACCTCGGCCGCCATCTTGGTTGCCGGGACCCACGAACTTATGTCCTAAAGCCTAAATTTATCCCTAAACCTAACCTGAACCCTACATCTATCCCTAAACCTAACCTGAACCCTAAACTTATCCCTAACCTAGGTTTTGACCCTATCGGCATCGGAACCAGGGTTTTGACCAACCAGTGAAACAACATGCAAATGACGTCAGGGTGCTATCTCTCCAGATTAGCCGAATTCATAGATTCAGTTTCAATAATTAGATTTTGAATTGATGATAACTATGAAACTGAAAAAAATGTGAAATATTAATTTATTAATAATTATGAACAGTCCACTGATTCTGATTCATTTTGGCCCTGGCCATTGGCCCAATAATTTTGAAATATCATGTTTCAATACGAATCAGTTGTTACATGAATATGCAAAAGAGTCGAACAATTTGAAAGTATGAGAGAGGAGCATACTATCTTTAACCCTCTGGAGACGTAAGGGCCATTCTATCGGCCCAAGGTAGACTAGCGAGAAAGACGTTAAGTCTGAACTATCGGCCCGATAAATCGAGCCTCACGATTGGATGGCTTGGCATTGTACTAGCGAATCAAAATTATTCTTACGTATTCCTGCACATCCCGGCATTGTAATGTCGGTTGAAGGTGAACTCAATTTATTTGTGTGGAGGAATTTTTTTTGTGTGTGTGTAGTTACATCGTGAAATTCGAACATGTCTGACAGTGACTCTGATCAAACTGTGCTTAGTGATTTTGATATTCTAGCAGTGAATCTGACATTGAAACTGATGAAAACAACCAGGAAATTAATGAAGACTTTCACATTGAGGGTAATGCTAATGTTGTGAGCTATTGGTATATTATTACTAGTATTAGGGGTACTCAAATGGACAGAGATGACCCCTCTGAATTTTTAGACAACATAGGTCCTATAAATAAGGCATAAGCACAAATTTTAGTACTTTATGCTATTTTTTTACACTAAATATCACTCAAATGTTTATGAGAGAGACCAATAGATATGCAAACAACTTTCTCAGTAACATCCAGCCTAAGAGAAGGTCCCTATGTCATAAATGGGGAAGTTACAGTGTGTCTGTAACAACTGAAAAATAGGGAGGGGCGGTGGAAAAAGAGTAGAACCATGTGCCAGATGTATCTGAAGGGCCTCCATGGGCCTTGTCTCCCAAAAACATAAGTGTTAGGACTTATTCAGGCTTCATCCATCAAAAAATTCACACAATTGATACAAGTAAGTCATGTTTAGTCTAGGCCTAGGTGTAACAAAAAATTACACACATAAATTATGCAAATTAGGGTAGCTCATTTGCATAAATTTTGATATTTCTGTTTGATTCATAAAGATTGTATTAGTTCATTTAAATTCCTACAAGAATATAGGCCTATATAGTTTTACATATATTAAAAATTAAGGGAATAGTCGGAATAGTTTATTTTTTATAAATTTTTTTGCAATGCGAGTGCCGAGCTCGTAAAAAGGCATCCGTCTTTTTGGCACATACACTCCGAAAAGACTACGTCTCCAGAGGGTTAAGACTCATATAAGTATTACAAATACAAAGTTTACAGTACCTTTTGTGTGGCAATATATTCATTGTCTTTTCCTTGTTTTCAGAAAACTCTAAAATAAGTTTCTTAGCTCTCCACTTGTTTTGGTTGTTGACTCTATTTACCGAAATATACAGTTGGTTTTCAAAAAAAAAAAAATAACAACTCCTTCGAGATGTGTAATTTACTTTAATTTTTGACTCAATTCGTACTTATAATCTGAAATTATGTTAACTAATGTGTTACTCTTCAGCAAAAATAGATTGCTAATGAATATTGAAATATCTTTAGGCATTTTATAATTTGATTTCAAGGGCATTGGAATGCACGTTTCCTAAGTTTTTCGATTTGCAAATAAATTCTTCCTTTATTTTTTAGTTTATCCTTTTTAAAAATAATAATTGTCGGGTGGGGGGATACACCATGGCACATTTTACGTAACCATAAAATATCTATTGATCTTTCACACAAAAATATTTGCTCTTTCTTTTATTATTATTTTTTTATATTATTATTATTATTTTTTATGTGTGAAACTTGGAAAAATTGAACGGAAAGTAAAAAATATAATAATGGTACTCATAGTTCGGTTTCATTTTCGTTCAACGTGTTTTTGAATTATTATTATCTTTTTATGAACATTTTTTCAAAAGGTTAGTGCAGTGGCGTAGCTAGGGTTGGTGTCACCCCGTGCGGTAAACTCATGGTGTCATCCCCCTCCCCCCACTTTCCACAATGGATTTCTTCTTGTTGAAATAACCCCACCGTATACCAATGACAAGAAGAAAAACAAGTATCTAATTGAATTTCAGGAGGTAAATGTATTTAAGGACTGTAACAACGTTAAATTATAGTTATGTTTACATTAAATTTAGTTTATTTAAAATTTTCCTTTCCTGGTCTTCAAAACTGCAAACCTCCCAATCGTGATTAAATGTTAAAGGGCGTTGCTAGTGACGAATCAGCGAAAATATTAATTCTTGAGTATTTATGGGTTTCGATAACTTCGTTTTCACAAAGTTTTTTTTTCTTCAAAATTTACATAAATTTAAATTACTTATTAAAGATGTTAGAAAATTTTGTAACATATCATTTTGTTGCCCTATAAATGGGTAAAAAGTTTTTGTTTTTTAAATTTTTTTTTACCGATATCTGTACTCAAATCGCCCGAACACATCGTATTTGCTACCAATAGAAAGCTTTATTCTTAGAATTTAGATAAATATAGCTTCCTGTCACTTACTCAAGTTACCGAACACTTCAATTGGCGCTGATTCATGGTCAAAACTGTGTTATTCTGACTTAATTATATGGTCACCTCATTTCTGATGCATCAACCTTGAACTTTTCATAAACCATGCATTTTATTAGTTAAATTTGGTGTCACCCCCTGGGATGGTGTCAACCGGTGCCGTGGACTACAAAAGAGCTTACGATATCGTAGACAGCAAATACATGTACGATGCTCTACGGGAACTTTGAGTTCTTATCAAACTTAACCGGCTCTTACATATGACAATGGCTAACTCCAAAAGTAGAATCTAAGTACAGGGAGAGTGCTCGAGGGAGTTCCAAATTAATCAGGGCCTCAGACAAAAAGACGCATGTATTCTTTTCAACACTATGTCAGAAAAAGGCATCTGAAACATACATGTAAGCACCAGCGGAACCATTACAAACTAATCCAAAGAGGTAGTACAGAACAACAACCTTAAGGAACTTTATAAAGCCGGCCGCTGCCGTGCTTGGCATACACAGAAGATAAAACGCTACTTGGTAGAAACAGCAATGATATAGTTGAAGCATTCAGGGAACTTGAAGATGTCTAGGGAAAAGCTAGTCTTAAGGTAAATGAAGCGAAGACACAATGTATGATGGTGTCACGAAACAACATGACAGAATAAACTACGAAACTTTTGAGAGAGTAGCTACTTTTAAATATCTTTAAATGAGCACAATGAAATAACGCGGAGGTGAAATAATCAGACAACCGTTCATTTCGAATACAAATGCTACTCGGAAGCAAAAACCTCTCTTTTGGAACAAAAAAGGCAATATAAACTACTATCATAAGACCAGTAGTAACTTAAGCAAGTGAGACATGTTCTCTACCAGAAAAGCACAGATCCTGCCATGCTCAATACATAGAAGAGGAATATTCTCAGGGAAATATATGGCCCTGGGATAAACAATTGTGTTTGGGAAATCCGTACATTTCAAGAGCTATAACAATTTTACAAAGACCCACCCATAGTCACAATAATTTTTAAAAAAGGAAGACTGCACTGAACAGGACACATTGAAAGGATGCCGGATTGTAGAGCTGCAGAGGCGATGTACAGGCAGAAAGCTAGGATGGGTCAACGATGTAAAGAAGGACTTACATTACATTAGTTGGGATTTCGCGAAAGGGGGCGGAAAGACATGATCTATCCGAATGGAAGAATGTGGTGGAGCAGGCCAGGGCTCTACAAGAGATGTAGTGCCACTGATGAAGACATTTCAGATTTTTCGGTGGAAAGCGCTAAAAATAGCCATAAGAACAGGGACATCTCTAACTCAGCTCCACCAGCTCAACAACTAAAGTCATTCAAGTTGGGGACCCTTAAGAGTATGCTTTTTGTGAGATTGTCCTGCGTAGATTAGTCTCGCCCCTTAAATCTTTAGAGTGCCCGGAAATTTTTTTATAAATTCAAATTGAAAGAATGCATTTTTTTACATACTTAAATTTAGTTTTGCATCATTATACACTTAAGTGGAGAGCAACTGGAGATATGCTATTTAGAGATTTAAGGTGTTATTTGATCCAAGAGCAATCGTGTGGACTCTACAACCCTTAGAGCTGCCTGGGGCCTCGTATATTTTAGGGGCTGTAAATACTTTTAATTATCAACATTTAATGCTAGGTAAGGAAGGACAAAACCGAAAAGTAGTGGGGGGGGGGGGAGCAACAAAAATGTCGAGCGACGTCTCTGCTTGACCAGATGTCTTATACAATTATATTTTTTTTATATTACTGAATAGAAATGGTTTGTTTTTTTTACAGTTTTTGGGATAAAATACTTAAAAAATAAATGAATTTACACAAAATGTTTTAAAAGATTAAAAAAATTCCTTTCAAAAAAGTTATCCATCACAAATAAGATTTGCCAAAATAATTTGACATGTTGAACGAAAAAGAGAAACCAAAAGCATACGTTTATTTCTAAATATTTCAAAGTTTTACCAAAGTTTAAAAAAAAAAAAACTCTTTTGTAGAGAGGGGTATCCATTTGTATGGATGTTCAAAATTTTTATTTTTTTATAAATTGTATATAACCGGCATAATTAATGTTAAGAAGACATGAGTTGTTTACAAAAGATATCATACATTAATTAATGTGTGATTTTATGTCAGGAAAATCGTAGAAAAATAAATTGTAAATTCCAAACATTCATTTGATTGAAATGATATGTTGGTTTAGATTTTCAAACTACTAGTCTATAACTTGCTTCAGATCAATTAAAAATTTCCTAGTCGATATACTTTAAAACATGTTTGAACCAATGCCATACAATTTATTTTTAACTACTACCAAAATAAAATGGAGTTTGCAAGATAATCGAAATACTATTTTTTTTTAAAGTTATATTATTTTTAGATGATAATCCAGTAAAAAGAATATATATATATATATATATATATATATATATATATATATATATATATATATATATTTTTTTTACTTGATTATCATCTAAAAATTTAAATTTAAAAAATGCGTTCAAATAATTAGAAGATTGTTTATTATTCTGATATTAAAAAGAAAAAAGTCTTTTGATAAATTAAAATTACAAGAACTCATTCTATCACAGATCTGACTTTAGATTTCCAACATTCTACACTTAACTGGAGAGCAACGGAAAAGATCCTAACTTTAAAATATAGGTGTTTCTTAACCTTAGAACCATCGTGTGCGCCCAGCAACCCCCACGATGCAGGATGCCTTGCGTATTTTAGGGGTTAAAATATGTGATGAGAGTATATCATCTTAATTAAAATCTTTCAATGCAGGGTGGAAAAAAAGGGTGGGAGACAAAACGAAAAAGTGCTTGACCTACTTGATATATGCACACACACAAAATGTGTATATTATTAAAATTACTAATGTGGCTTTTGATCGAACGGAAGTTTAGGTGAACGGAAATTTGATCGAATTTTTACTTCAGTTCACACTGTCTACTTTTCGTCAAAATTTCTTTTTGAACGCACTATACTATATAGTAAAACAAAATAATGCGTCCAAAAAGAAATTCGTCACAAAATTAGATCATTTGAACTGAAAATGAAATTCGATCAAATTATAATTAATAATTTACTAGATTAAAAAATCTTAATTAAAATAAAAACTATCTCATTTTTTTTTTAAAGTTTCCTTTTTTTGTAACTCAACTTACATGGAATCGATAAAGACAGACAGTTTGACTTCTTGTAGGCCTACACGACCTCAATCACTTTCGTCCGAAACCGAAAGTTTACTTTTCTGTTTCAGCCGAAACCGAAACTACGCCGAAAGTGATCAAATGACAAAACCGAAATTCGGTCGGTCACTAGTAAAAACGCACTATCTGGTGACTTATGTTTGTATTTCTGTAAAAAATAAAATCTGACTGATGTTTGTATGTCTGTAAAAACATACCATCTCTGATTGTTTTTGTTTTTTTGTCTGCTAAACATACCTACCATCTCTGACTGTTATTTTTATGTCTGTAAATACATAGCATGATCGACTTGTTATTGTGTCCATAGAAACGTACCATCTCTGACTGATGTTTGTATGTCTGTAAATACATAGCATGATCGACTTGTTATTGTGTCCGTAGAAACGTACCATCTCTGACTGATGTTTGTACCATCTCTGTTTGTATATTTTAATAACACACCATCACACTCCGAGGGTCAACGGAACAAATAAAAGACAAAAAGACCACCAAAGGTAAGATTGCGGATCATTTATTAGAAAAGGAGCCTATTTGGAATTTTTAATTAGAGCATTTTTCAAAAGAAAAAAAAAACGGTGCACGTGCCTGGGTGCAATCCTCCCTACTGCATGGCATGTCACGATAAGAACCACCCGTTCATCCATGTCAATCCACCCTACTGCATGGCATGTCACGATAAGAACCACCCGTTCATCCATGTCAATCCACCCTACTGCATGGCATGTCACGATAAGAACCACCCGTTCATCCGTGACAATCATCCAGCGTGAACCTGTAAACGGTTTTATATTCTGACATCCTCTTCTTGTACTCGGCATCAAACTCTTCATTCATGGTCACAGTGAACCAGTTCTTCCAGTCTCCCACCTCGCCTGGGAAATTTAACAAATAGAAAAGGGGGGGGGGATTCAATTGCAATTGTGTTAATATTTCATAGAAAAACAACATCAACCATTTTTTATTAGCATTAAATTTTAAAACAAAAACAAACAATAAACGAATAAGAAATAAGTGAAAACCTTAAAATAGCCTATACTAAAATGTAGAGAAAAAAAAAGAGTTCAATGAATTCATTGATCTCAAAAATGCTATAGAACAGTTTAAAGAATTCCGTTGGTTTAGAAACTCGGAGAGGAAATATCAGCATTTGTCAATAAAAGATGTTTAAGTTTTAAAATTAACAAAAAATATGTCAATGTCATCGATGACGTCGGAATAAAAGGGGGGGAGGGGGCTGTCTACTTTGGGTGGCACTTTTTTTCTTATTAATCTTATACTTCTGTGGCATTTTCGGCCAACTGCCGATGTTTGTTTGTTTGTTTGTTTGTTTGCAGCTAAAAATCTTGCCCCGCCCAGGGTGGCACTAAACATTTTACATTTTAGCCACGCCCTTAATGTCGTTAAAAAATGTCTTTAACAATCACCTTTCCTATAAGTAGCCAAAGTTTTGTCCTTAAAAAGTGATTTGGCGTGCTCACTGGTTGTCTTCTCTTTATACTCTTTCATGTTTGTGAAGCTACAGGCGACGGCAATTTGTTCACACAACTCATCACTGCATCCGGTGGCCAGGAACTCGTTGAGTTTCTTAACACCACCCACGGGATCCTGTGAAGAAAAGTTTAAAAAAAATAGTTCTTCTATTGTCTATAGAGTTTATTTTAAATCCTACTACTTGATACACTCTCAGCCGTGGCGCGGGCCTTCAACCACTACTGCAGGAGGGACCTCATATATTAAAGAGACCAAAAGTTATGGGGGAAAAAAGTGTGTATGTGTGTGTGTGTGTGGGGGGGGGGGCATTTTTCGCCAACTTCAGAGGTTCTTCCGTTAAAGGGGGTGGCATATTTCTCGGTTGTCGTTAGCTGTGCCACTGTATGCGCCATTACTGTAACCTGATTTGTTTGCAGCTTTCACACGCCCGGAGTGGAGTCGAGCTGATGTTAGACATCGCCCCTTTTAGAATGATCTGATGCTTTTTAGTGGGGATGTTTTTTATTGACAGAGTGATGTCCCTGTTCAGATTGCATATCGGGTTAAAATCAAAACAGTAAATACATAAACAAGAAATACATAAACAAGAAATACATAAAAAAGAATTACATAAACCTTAAATACATAAAAATATATACATAAACAAGAAATACATAAACAAGAAATACTTAAACCATAAATACATAATCCATAAATACATAAACAAGAAATACATAAACAAGAAATACATATACAATATATACATAAACAATAAATACATAAATTAGAAATACATAAACAAGAAATACATAAACAGTAAATACATAAAACATAAATACATAAACCATAAATACACAAACAAGAAATTCATCAACAAGCAATACTTAAACCATAAATACATAGGCCTAATCCATAACTACATAAACAAGAATCAAATAAACAAGAAATACTTAAACAAGAAATACATAAACAATATATACATGAACAAGAAATACATAAACAAGAAATACATAAACAAGAAATACATAAACAAGAAATACTTAAACAAGAAATACATAAAAATATATACATAAACAAGAAATACATAAACAAGAAATACTTAAACCCTAAATACATAATCCATAAATACATAAACAAGAAATACATAAACAAGAAATACATAAACAATATATACATAAACAATATATACATAAACAAGAAATACATAAATAAGAAATACATAAACAAAAAATACATAAGCAAGAAATACTTAAACAAGAAATACATAAACAAGAAATACATAAATAAGAAATACATAAACAAAAAATACATAAGCAAGAAATACATAAACAAGAAATACATAAACAAGAAATACATAAACCGTAAATACATAAACAAGAAATACATTTCCTAGGAGTCACACCGAAGATGCCATCTGTGACGTAACGAACGCCGTCCATAAAATCCATGTACATGCACCTTATTATCGTGGCTACAGCCCGATTCCCGGCTATAGCCGTTAAATCTACTCACCAGTTTCATGTCCTCGAACACTGACGTGTAAATAGGACAGTCGGGGTGAGCTTCTATTCCTTTCTGCCATTCCATCAGGTAGTCGAAGAGGTCGCCGTAGAGATCTGAGGCAAACCAATTGACCATTTAACGGCAGGATTTAACAGAGTTTTAAAAGTATATTCCAATAGTTTTCAACCGTAATTTAGAAAATAAAAACATTTTAAAAGAAGCACAAGTTGTGTTGAACATGAAAACACTTTTTTTCTTATTGAACTTCTGTTGAATTAAAATTTGAGAAAACTAAAAAAATGTGAATAAATATGAATTTATTATGGCGAAATATCTTCATAATGTATTTCTGTTTTTAAATTTAAAATTACTTCGCTACCGGTATTCATAAGGGCAAGGTTTTAGCATTAGAATTGTATCTGTTGTTTCATTGTTTTTTCCGGTATCTATGTTCACTAATTATTTATTAAAACGAAAAAAAACAAAAGATACCAGTTTGCTATTTAATCTGCTGTGACGTCATACTTCGTGTATTATACTTAACATACTTTTTTTTACTTGCCAAAGTAAATCACACGTTTACATCCCTCCTGTGTTATTGTATTTATTATTATACTTTCATTTTAGCTCATCAATTCTTTCTCTCTAGAGCAGTGGTTCTCAACCTTCCTAAAGCCACGACCCTTTATACAGTTTCTAATTTTGTGGTGACCCCTAACCATAAAATTATGTTCGTTGCAACTTCATAAATATGATTTTCCCGATGGTCTTAGGCGACCCCTGCGTAAGAGTCGTCCGACCCCCCAGGGGGTCGCGACCCACAGGTTAAGAACCGCTGCTCTTGATTTACACAACTGAACTCACATCCTACTTCCATGCATAGACGGTAAAAGTGTTCGAATGTCCCCGGGTAGTGGTAGGGCTCAGGACGCTTCTGCATAAAGTTGTAGTAGGACACCAGGACATCTTTGGGATTTCTGTCCAAGTAGACGATCTTGATTTTCTTCTCAAGGGCTTGCCTTGGAATGTATCTTTGAAGAAAGAAATGATACACCTCTATTTTTACAGAAATGAAGCAGATTAAAGTTTCAATTTTCTTGGACAGAGCAGAGAATCAATATTCAAATTTGGCCTTGTTTCATTAAAAAGTAATTGCGAGAGCGCCATTAATCACTGTTGAGCTTTCTTGTTAAAACAATTTGGCCTCTATGAAACAAAGATGCGCTTTTATTTAAAAAAAAAAAAACAAAAAAAAAAAACAACAGCTTCCATGGTGACCTTGCACCTAAATTGCGAGAGCGCCATTAATCACTGTTGAGCTTTCTTGTTAAAACAATTTGGCCTCTATGAAACAAAGATGCGCTTTTATTTAAAAAAAAAAAAAACAAAAAAAAAAACAACAGCTTCCATGGTGACCTTGCACCTTGAACCATTTCATGGTGACCTTGCACCTTGAACCTTCCATGATGCTCTATTCGTGAACCCATCACTTCACTGATAATAACCGCGTGTTTTATCTCATATCCTCTGAACTGAATAAGGTTAATACACACTGAAAATACCGAAGGGATCCTACTATTAAACATTAATCTCTATTCGGTTGTATGCATTATATTACCCTGTGATTAAGATGTATATACAAGCATAAAAATATCGAAGCAAAAATATAAATTTACATGTTCAAGTAAGTGCTTTGACTAACTGGGTACATCTTATTCAAAGTGAAATTATTTTACCCTTCTAACGTCATTTTTGACTAACAATGACTCGCTAACTTGAGCCGTTAAGACAAGCCGTTAACATGGGTCGCTAACATTAAAAATTACGTCAGAATTCGCGATGAGGTCAAGCTAATATTTGACCTGAAAGGGACATGAGTGTACACCAATCGCGATGAGGTCAAGCTAATATCTGACCTGAAAGGGACATGAGTGTACACCAATCGTGATGAGGACAAGCTAATATCTGACCTGAAAGGGACATGAGTGTACACCAATCGCGATGAGGACAAGCAAATATCTGACCTGAAAGGGACATGAGCGTACACCAATCACGATGAGGACAAGCTAATATCTGACCTGAAAGGGACATGAGTGTAAACCAATCGCGATGAGGACAAGCTAATATCTGACCTGAAAGGGACATGAGTGTACACCAATCGCGGGGAGGGCAGGGCGTCAATGCGACCTGTTGGCGTCTTGTCCAGAAAAAACCCTCCTATGTTGCCGTCTGTAAACTGGACCTGCTGCTTCTTCAACATGTGCAAGATCTCGATATGCCAGTGCAGACCTGAAGAGGTTGGGGGTTGGTTAGAATAAAAATGTATTATTCTCAAAGAATCAGATGTTTCCCTTCCTTTTTGTATAATCTTAAGGCTACTTTCTTTACAATAAGTAAATTTATTTTGTATCATTGTTTATAGTTAATCGTTTATAACCATACAACCAACACAAACATTAAATAAATGCAGACCTTTCAACTTGAAAAGTGATACTAAAGACTTCACGATGCATAACATGCCTCCATTTCCCAATTTTTACTTAGAATCTATTTAAATATATATTTCACTTTTTTTGGTAATGAGGATCAAAGTATTGTTTTCATGTGATTGATTTGAAAAAGACACCATGAAATTATGTTTGAAATATATGATATTGAATGTAGCTGCTAAATAGATTATATAAGACATAAAAACGGTTCTAAAAATGTTCAGTGTTCGGACCATAAGGATATTTTTTTCTCTTTGCAAGTGTTGGTTCCAAATTTATTTATTATTCTGAAATAGGTGTCTCTTGTTAAAATAGATTCTATGTGGTCCTGTGTCTGAGAGGCTTTAATCGATATGCAATCAATACATTTAGAGTTTAAATACATTCATGACTATATGATTGAAAGACTGAAGACAATTTAAAATTTGACATGTAATATTTGATTTTACTCCACCTGTTTTGGGATAGGAACATATTATGACGTCATCGGCTCTGATCTCCATGCTTCTGATATTTCGCGCATGCGTCCTGTAATCGTTGTCTGCTCCAATGGGAAATGGTATGTGCCAGTAGTCGCCGGCATTGCCGAAGAAGAACGTGTTACCAAATCTTGATAGAGGTTTTAAAGAAAATACCTATTATGTGAGATTTCGATTAGATCAAAGATACATTTCTTGAACAGGAATTTCGCTTACTGCATTTTGTTTTTAAAAACAAATAATTAAAAGCTTCACCTGTCTGTTAATTTTGATAATTTCGGGAACGTCGGTGGGCCCAGTGGTTCTTTTTCTGGAACATCTTTATTTTCTTGATGGTCTTTACTATTGCCTTGTCCTTGTTCTGCGTTTGCATTCGCAGACCTTGTTTAGAGAAAAAAAGGTACCACATAAATTAAGTAAATATCATCGACCATATTGTTAACATAATGTCCTTTTTATTTTATATAAAAGTGTAGGAATGAAAAAATGTAGCTCTTTTGTAAAGACGCACAACGATGCTCTTGAAAGTGAAACATTCTAACGCCATATTTCACATGGCTTTACTTTTCTTAGCTATACGAGGGGAGCTCTTTTGAATCTATCTTTTGGCTGTAAGAGAGTGTAAATGGGAGAAGATGTGAACTCAGATGGCTTATCCTCATACTTACGGTTATTCTCAAATTCTGCGCGGTTCAGCTGACCAACACAGGGAGCACATTTTTATTTATCCGACTTCTAATGTTGGACTATCAATTTTGGGGGTAATCCATGCTCTCGTGTAAAAGAAGATGGACGCGTTTGAGAGAGCAATCACCCTTAGCAAAGAATTGAAGACAAACTGAATGAGGTCACACGTATTAAGGTCATACTTAAAAGGTCTCAATGAGGTCATACTCAATGAGGTAACACTTAATGAGGCCACACTTAATGACGCCACACTTAATGAGGTCACACTTACCAAGGTCAAACTTAATGATGTTAAACTTACCGAAGTCACACTTAATGAGGTCACACATACCGAGGTCACTTTTAATCAGGTCAAACTTACTGAGGCCACACTTACCGAGGTTACACTTACCAAGGTCAAACTTAATGATTTTGCACCTACCGAGGTCACACTTACTGAGGTCACATAATACAGCCAACGCAGTTGAAGTAAAACTTACATTTTAGGAGTCCACAATGTTTTTCCAACTTAATAGCTGAGCTATTTTGGAATAAATTAATCACAACGGTTTCTAATGTTTACTGTTTAATATCGGTGTTGACCCCGCTACCTGACGATGCACGGACCGTAACGCCAACCCTTTCCCGAAGTCGTCTGCTTGTCTGCCCAAATGATTATACCAGAAAACTTTGGCCTTCGACCCAATTTATGTCGACCTACTTAGATATCAATTTATCTGTGTCTGTAAATGAAAGCAAAGCTCAAGTCTGCAACTGAATTCACTAAGAGGTAGGTCAGTTGTGGAGACGAAACTGAGGATGTCATCAACGACTCCCTGGAGGAGAAGGGCTGGTTAGAGCCGGCGCTCACGTGATCAGTGGGAGCTAAAAGGTCGTTGAGAGTCAGTGAGTAAACAAACTGGTCTCAAGACAGTGTTTTTTTTATACAGTGGAAACTTTTCTGAAGCACATAATGAAATTGTTGTCAAAATTGCTTACCAATGTGGTGGATTTATCTTGATATCAGTCGCCTGGCTTGTGTACGTAAAAGCTCTTTAACAACAAACTCATGTAAATAATTTATCGAATGAATTGTTCTTTAATTTTAAAAAAATCTGCTAATATTATTATTATTGTCTCTTAACAATTGGTGACAATATTATACGAACTTCAATACCACTTGATATACAGAGAGGCTGTAAAATTGCTTACCAATGTGGTGGATTTATCTTGATATCAGTCGCCTGGCTTGTATACGTAAAAGCTCTTTAACAACAAACTCATGTAAATAATTTATCGAATGAATTGTTCTTTAATTTAAAAAAAAATCTCTTAATATTATTATTATTGTCTCTTAACAATTGGTGACAATATTATACGAACTTCAATACCACTTGATATACAGAGAGGCTGTAAGGTTGGTCGACTGACTTAACACTATTTCGTCTACATTTATTTCTTCAACAAGATAAAATTTGACAGGCTTAATTTTAAAAATTGATTTTATTATGCCATCTAGTAATTATTTGGAAAATCTATCCTACTCACACGCTGCGCAGAAGACACGCATACAACACACACACACACACACACATACACACACACACACACACACACACACATACACACAGACTTGTTAATGTTTGAAATACAAAACAAAATGTCAACCAGTTATATATAGCTGCTATGGAATAATTTCAGTATAAAAATGTTAATTATCAAACAATGAACTTAATTCATACAATGAGATCGAACATGTGATCATAATATTTAAAACAAATTGTGTATGAAAATGATTCAAAACTTAAAATAGGGGAGAGGGTGTACACAACCAGGCAGGGGGCCACAAGGTTCATAAAGTAAAACAAATTTACGGTTTGGCATTGATAAAAGTTAAAAATAAAGCTTAAATGAAAAATGTCTATCAAAAATTGTATGAATACTTCGAAGAGCATTCTATGACATGACATATAACTGCTGTTATATGGATAAATCACCCAACGTGTATTTGTAAACAGTTTTATATTCTGCCATCCTCTTCTTGTACTCGACATCAAACTCTTCATTCATGGCCACAGTGAACCAGTTCTTCCAGTCTCCCACCTCGCCTGGGAAATTTAACAAATAGAAAAGAAAAAAAATCATCAATGTTTGTTCTATGTCGCAAAAGGTGTAGATATATTTGATCAGATATAATTTGAAAAAAAAATAATTAAATTGCTAAGTTTTAAAAAAATGCAGATATTGGATAAAGATATCGTTCATTAAAAAACGAAAAAAACATTCGCCGATGATTGAATAACGTAATTTAGACATAAAGATGATGCATTTTGGATGGAGTAAGATTTTTGTTTTTTTAAATTGTTTAAATTATTCCAACTCCTAAATGAAATTCTTTTTTATAATTTTAGCGAAGAATGTTAGGTTTGAAGTTTTGGATTATTCTAGAAACTTACAAAGGAAAGCATTATCAATCATGCATATATTTAAAAGACACATTGAAAAAATTTCACCTTTTCTATAGAAGCCAAAATTTTTGTTCTTAAACATAGATTTCCCTTGTTCACTGGCGGTGCTGTCTTTATATTCTTTCATGTTGGTGAAGCTACAGGCGACGGCAATTTGTTCACACAGCTCATCACTGCATCCGGTGGCCAGGAACTCATTGAGTTTCTTAACACCACCAACTAGATCCTGTCAGGGAAAGTTAAGTACTCGATTAAATGTAAATAGCCCCACAGGTAAAGTCACCTCAATCACAATTATTACCAGCTCACCTAATTCACAATTACCAGCTGACTCCAATCACAATGACCTGCTGACCTAAATCCCAAATCACAGCTGACCTCAACCACAATTACCAGCTGACTTCAATCGCAATTACTAGCTGACCTCAATCACAATTATTGCTAGATTACTTCCTTTTTTGTCACCTGGCTGATTGAAGACATTTATTTATTTTTTTTCATTTGACCGTTACAACAAGTTTTGTTTAAAAAAAAACAAAAAAAAAACTTCAATCGACATTTGATGAACTCAATGACGTACTAGCACACAGTCCTGTTATAAGGTGGCATCTACTCACCAGTTTCATGTCCTCAAAGACTGATGTGTAAATAGGACAGTCCGGGTGAGCTTCTATTCCTTTCTGAAACTCCATCAGGTAGTCGAACACGTCACCGCACAAATCTAGGGCATATGGGTGGCTATTAATAGACTGGGACAACATACGACACAACATTGAGAATTGGGAGTGCATGGGTGGTATTAAAAGACTGGTGCAACATACAATACAACATTAAGAATGTATGGGGGCTGTTAATAGACTGGGACAACATACAACACAACATTGAGAATGTAGGGGTAGCTGTTAATAGACTTGGATAACATACAACACAACATTGAGAATATATAAGGGGATATTAATTGAATGGGACAACATACAACACAACATTGAGAATTCAGGGATGGCTATTAATAGACTGGGAAAACATAAAACACAACATTGAAAATGTAGAGGTGGCTATTAATAGACTGGGACGACATACAACAAAACATTGAGAATTTATGGGTGGCTATTATTATATTGGGACAACATGCAACATAACATTGAGAATGTATGGTTGGCTATTAATAGACAGGAGCAACATACAACATAACAGTGATAAAGTAGGGTGGCTATTAATAAACTGGGACAACATACAACACAACATTGAGAAGGTAGGGGTGGGCATTAATAGAATGGGACATCATACATCACAACATTGAGAAGGATGGGGTGGCCATTAATAGACTGGGAAAACATACAACACAACATTGAGAAGGTAGGGGTGGCCATTAATAGACTGGGACAACATACAACACAACATTGAGAAGGTAGGGGTGGCCATTAATAGACTGGGACAACATACAACACAACATTGAGAAGGTAGCGGTGGCCATTAATAGACTGGGACAACATACAACACAACATTGAGAAGGTAGGGGTGGCCATTAATAGACTGGGACAACATACAACACAACGTTGAGAAGGTAGGGGTGGCCATTAATAGACTGGGACAACATACAACACAACGTTGAGAAGGTAGGGGTGGCCATTAGTAGACTGGGACAACATACAACACAACGTTGAGAAGGTAGGGGTGGCTATTAATAGGCTGGGACAACATACAACACAACATTGAGAAGGTAGGGTTGGCCATTAATAGACTGGGACAACATACATCACAACATTGACAATGTGTAGACTGGGACAACATACATCACAACATTGAGAAGGTAGGGGTGGCCATTAATAGACTGGGACAACATACATCACAACATTGACAATGTGTAGCAGATGTCATGAAGGCAAAAATGGATGTTTGTTCTTTAGCCCCAACTGCATAAACAGTTTAATAAACTAACGCAAAAAAAAAGCAATTTATGCGTGGAAACTTTTTCCCTGGGAGTATGTTTCAAAATAGAACACATCTAATTTCAACGGCTTAAAATGAATAGTTTTTAAGCTGTTAAATAATACTTCTTTCTGGAGTTATTCTTGGACTAGATGTTAAATATTTATTTTGAAATAAAGAGTATTAAAATTACTTTCATTTGTCACAAACAGGGGCATCATTTTGGGTTTTTTTCCATTGGGGGGGGGGGGGACAAATCAAAACTTGGTCGGCTGTTTAGGTTGTATATTACTGGAGGCGCCACAGTACATTTTAATTTAAAAAAAACCTGAAAAATTCCTTGGGAAGGGGGGGGGGCTATTCCCAAATCCTGCCCTACCCAAATGACGTCCCTGGTCACAAATAGTGTAGGTTTCTCTAGAATATTTGACCTTTCAAGTCAAAACAATTCTTTCGCATTTTCCACCAATAATTCAGTTGGACATTATCTTTATGCTAAGATCTCAAAATATGTTTACTTAAAAAAATATAATTTTAGAATAGTATCTGTATTTACGCTAAGATCCCACAATGTTTATATATATATATTGTAACACACTTCTACTCTGACATGGCGTGGGATGTTATTTCTTATGCTGTGGGTTATGTCAGTAGTATGGTTACTTATATTAACGCTTCAGGATGCCGACTCAGTCTTCTTCATTCTTTCACTTATTATTCAGGCACGTAAAGAAGAATGCTCAATTCTAGTTAAAACTCACAGTACTTTATTGAACACACTTTATATTGATAATATTAATAAATAATCCTTGCATGAATGTAATTTCACATATATATCTATAGTATTCCATCATTAAGAAAGACACGTCCTCAGACTACTATAACTCAGCTCAACTGTCTAATCTCACAGCTCTCACGCTACTGACTGACTCTACTGCTCTGCGCTC